CTGTGCTTCAGCATTTTGGAAACTCACTTTTCATGACCTGCGGTGGAGCCGGGTATCACTTCTCGAAACCTGTGCCGCAAAATCGACTCACACACACTTCCTGCCCGTCTCTTAGCCCAGCCCCCAGCCCGGCTTAGGGCCGGGTCACACAAGGCTGAACCACCCGTGCCCTCGCACTCAGTTGAAGTAATGCGGCGCCTCTGGACACTGGAACCGAGCAGGAGCTTCCATCAGCTGAGTGCGAGCTCCAGGTCCTTCCTAGCGCCTGCATAATGGGAAGCCACCAACCACGGCCGCCCTGCTCCCCTCTGCAGACCAGCTCTGGGCACGGTGCTCGCCCAGCCAGACACGATTCCCTCATCCCAGCCTCTGCAATCGGGGGCCACCTGAGTAGCTGTGCAGGGGCCCTGCTTGATGCTAGCGAGTTACTAGGCAGCCAGTCTTGCCCTGTCTGCCCAGCGGAGGCCAGGGTGCAGGGGTGCAGGCAGTGGAGAAGCCTGTTGGTGGATGTCACACTGCACCCCTCCCCCCGATCTGCACCCCACAAACAAGCAAAGTGCCACCTGCTCTGAGAGCCCCCAACACTCAAGACATTTGCCTTGGATTCCTAAGCAAATGCAACCGCTGGCTGGCAAACGTGTCCCCACCACCCCCTCGGAGGTCTCGCTGAGATACAGGCTCCTTCTCCAGGTCCTGCCATTGCCGTGCTGGTAACCAGCTGCTAGGTATCACTCCAGAGGTGGCTGCATTGCACTGCTGGGAGGAGAGATTCCCACGCTGGTCTGCAGGGCGGTTTGGTCTCCAGAAAGACGCTGCCAAAGCCCAGCAGCAGCAGAACCTGTAGGTGGGAAACAAAATTCACCACTCCCAGGGGGGGCGACAGCCACCAGCAGAAAGGGGCAAGGCCAAGGGCAGTCAGCCCTTTATATCTACAGGCCACGGGGCAATTGCTCCCTTTGCCCCCCGCCGGGCCTGCCCACTCCCATATACCATACAAATCACTGCTGGGCTACAGCCCTCAACCAGCTATTCCTGCCTCTCCTCTTGCCAGCAAGATCCTTGCCCTGCCCTCCTCACCTGAGCACACAGGACGGCCCCGTCACCCGACCCTCACCAGCCTGCTCCACAAAGAGCCACCAGCACCCCAGCCACCTTTCCAGCAGCAGGGCAGGGCAGACTGGGAACTGGGGAGGGAGCAAGAGCCCTAGCCGGGCCCCACTGCAGGCAGACAATCTTCCCCCTCCTGGAACTGCCCGGGCCAGCCTCCCCAGGCTCCTTGCACGCAGGGTCTCTCTCTGTAAGCAAGCAGCCCGCTGCTGTGTCCAGGGAAGGCTGGGTGCCACAGGAACAGCCAGGACAGAGCCAGAAAGCTGAGGGAGTGCAGTGTAACTAGCGAGTCAGTGGCAAGAGGCCAAGCCCTCTGCCCTCCACAGCCCATCTCTATGCCAGAGCTCAGACAGGCCCACGAGGCTGTGGCGCCCCCATGTGGCAGCAGCGAGCCCCTCTGCCAGCAGTACTAAGACAGCCCCATAACCCCGGACAGAGCCCACCTGCCCCCAAAAGCCAACTCCTCCGATAACGACAGTAACTCAAGCCCTCTCAGCCACCTGCCTCTATACCACAGCTCTTGAATGCTCTCCCAGCAAAAGCTGCCCCGTAAGCTGATGCCAATGCTGGTAAACCCCAAATCCCACCCCAGACATTCCAGATCCTGGCTAGCCTGAACCCTCCCCCACAATCCCCCTTAGGCCAGACTGAACCACGCTTGGGTGTGGAGGGATACCCATCTTATGCTGCACAGCTGCCCAGAAACCATCACTGGCTACCCCCAACCAAGCTCCAAGATTGAATCAGGACCAGGCACCCCAAGGACACACCCCTTTCTATAAAGCAGCTTCACCCAGCAGCCACTGGGACAAAATATTCTCTGCTGATACATTTCAGGTCCCAATAACTGAATGGCTTAATTCTTACCATTCACGGAGAAGGGTCTCAGGGCCCGTGGTCCACGAGTAATGGCCAGAACCATGCAAGCACCATACAAGAGGCTGCTTTAGGACAAAGGGTTTCCCCGATCATCAGTCAGTCAGTCTCAGGCCATGCAGAGGGAGATGCTGGACTTGCCTTGGGCCAGACGCAAACAAATCCAGTGAAGAGGATTTCAACTCCCTGCAAGGGCGGAAGGGGGCTCCACAGGTTTCATCTTCCTGCAGGAAATGGCTGAGGCGACACCCACTTAGCAGCGGAGTTAAGCCCCAAACACAGCGTCTCGGCCACATTGGGGGCGGAATGTAAAATCACGGCAGAGAGCCAGCAGTTGGAACGGGGCATGTCAAAAAGACCCTTTAATGCCAGGGGCAGGACGACAGAATGTGGCAGACGGCACAATGGAGTTAGAACTGAGATGGGAATCCAGGCTTCATCGGGCGGAGGTGGAGGTGGGACTGGAACCGTGGTCCTCCAAAAGCAGAGCACTTGGCCTTGAGTGCAAAGAGCCATCAGCCACATTCTTTCTAAGCTGCAATTAGCCAGCAGAGGGCAACAGGTCGGTGGACGCCACTGGCCCTGCTGGCTGCCAGTCCCACTCCCCTCCCAGCCACGGGGGCTCTGGTCTGGCAGGACCATGGATCTTGCAGAACCAGAGTCCCACACTAGAGATTCAATCTATACTGCGACTTTCCCACTCCCATAACTCCATGGGTCAGGACCCCTACAATTCCAACCCTAAAATGCCACTAGGAAATGAGACCGATGCCTGTGACCACGTTTTATTGGGAATTACAAAAAATCCACAGTGCCGTTCCCCCCACCCCCGCTGCTTCTGAGAAACTCCCAGGGAAGGGACGGTAGAGAAATCCTTCCCCAGGCGCAGAGGAGTTCCAACCAGCCCACTGCTCCCTGGGCTCAGGGCGTCGCAGTCTGCTGCATGGCGAGAGGCATTGTAAGAATCCAGATGAAGCTGGAGAGGCTGGTGCTGATCCCAAGCGCCCCCCCCCATGGAGTGAGGAGTTCCTGCTCACCTTGCCCCCTCCCCCATGGCTGAAAAGCACTAGAGCAGTTTCCCAGGGCAGACTCTGGGCCCCAGCCACTTTGCAGAACAGGAGCCTAGCCAGGCGCTGGAGACTCCTCCATGTGGTCCAAGGATGCCTTAGGTTTTTATGGCCGTGTCTCGGGATTTGTAGGCCACACCTCGGCTCTTCAGCTCCCGCACGATCCCTGCAGCAAGTGGACAAAGACGAACTGCTCAGAGGCACTGGGGAAAGGGAGCCTTTGGGAACAGCCTCACTAACACGAACGACTCTGGCGACGCTCCACGGGAGGTGGGCCCGGAAGGTCCTGTGCAACTGCCTGTGCAGCACAGACCACTGCCTGCCCCCGTCATCCCTGGGCTGGGCCTGTAACTTGTCTTTGACAAAGCACCTTCCAGAAAGTCTGGTGAGAACGAGGGATGTAAAATCCCGTTTCATTACTTAACCAGTTATCCTATTGGGGGGAGGGAAGGGAGGGCGCTCCAACTGCACCAAGGTGCCCTGCCCCCCTCCCGGGGCTGCTCCAGCCCCCACTGGTTAACTGTAACCATTAAGCATCAGCCACTAAGGGTGGTGCTTACCAGTGAATGGGTTCACCATTCACATCTCTAAAATGTGCAACCCCACTTCTAACCAGTTAACTGCCTGGGCTCCCAGTGGACAGGGGCTGCTCCAGACAAGAGTAACCCCTGCCAGCAGGGTGCCCGGGAATGCTGCGGAAAGGGCTCCAGACGAAAGCAGCCCCTGTTCACGGCAGGCTCTGCAGGGGCTGGGAGCTTCTCCAGCCCCTAACCTTTCACATCCCTGATCCCTAGTGAGAACACAGACAGTTCATGGCTCCCTCTGGCAGGCTGGTCCAGGGACTCCGCCCCACTGCTGTGCGATACTTGTGTCTGCGTCTACTTTGCATCTGTCTGGCTTTTCTCTTCTCCCCATGTCACCGATTCCCTTGGACCTTCTCTTTGACCAGCTGAGCAGGTTGAGCTCTTGCGTTTTCACCAGCCTTCCTATCACCTCTCCAGATTTCCCAGATTATGTATCACAGCTCACGTTAGCCCTGTCTGCCACAGCATTATGTTGGGAACTCTGGAGGATTTGCCCACCCACTTTGCCCCCTGAATCCCCCATGTGCCTTCCTCCCTTCTAGCAAGGTAACACTGCATCACATGGCATCTGGAAAGAGGAAATGACCAACAATGGGTAGGACCACGATTCTGAGCCAATTCCAACCATGTCAGTTCTGTGCTGCCATCTGAGTCGCTTGGCGGGTTGCCTGCACGGTTTTCCTTCCTCGCTGCTTGGCTGTCCAGTTCCTCTCCCCATGCACTCTTCCACAGAGAAGAATTTTAGGCAGCCAGCAGGGGGTTACTCTTGCACCAAAGCCAAACTACTGGAGCTTAGAGAGCACCGTGTAAGCTGGACAGTCTCACTAGTCACACCTGCATTTGATGATTCCCCACTGACAACGACTTTGTCAGCCAATTTATGAGCTCAGACTCAGTTACACACACGCGCCGACACTGTGCGGCTCTTTTTTAAAGAACCAACTCCGACTAGCTGGTAGTACTAAACCTAAGGCCTTACAAGAATCTGAGTATATTACATCTATGCACTTTTAAGCAAGCACATACTTCCAGAATGAAAACAGGTGCAAAGCTTGCCTAGTCACACAAAGTACAGTACACAACAAAGCTGCGAACCGAAGTCTGCTCCTCCCTCTACCACATGTGCATTCAGGCGAGCACCTTGCCTGGGGAGGGGCCATCCCGTCACCCTTTTAGAAATCAGGAGAACAGTCAGCCAGGTTACCTTGTGGAAGACGACCTGTTACAGACACCGCATACACACCAGGCTTGAAATTATCTGCAAGAGAGAGACAGACACACAGATAGCACACACAACATCACCATCCAAGCAGGAGAATTCAGGCCATGGCAATTTGGTGTATTGCATTCCCTCCCCCGCCATCTCAATTCAATGGTAACACGGGAGGAACACTAGGAGGGAGGGAGGGAGCACTTTTTCCATAAGGCACCTGTTCAACTACAGAGCATCCGCCAGGATTCCACAGCCCTGGCCTTGCAGGGGTAGTGAGGAAAGCAACTGCTGCTACCTGAACATTTGCCAGAGGGAAATAAGCTTCAGTATAAAACCATGTTAGAGGAGAGAGACACTCACTGACTCGCTGCCACTTGGAGACCCAGCTGTCTTCAGGGCTCATCATAGCAATAATCCTGCAGGAGAGAAGAGGGTTAGTGCACAATGCAGGCTTCTGCCAGCAAGCCCCAGAGCGCAGCCCAGCCCGAGGTGGGGGCAGAGCAAGTCAAGATCCCCACTCCCCCAGCACCTGGCAGCAGTACAATCATGGACACCAGCAGCAAAAGTGAAGCTCTCTTCTGTGGTATCACCAAGTCCAAGTTCCCTCTGGCAAAAAACAAAGGGCAGGAGGGGGAGGTGTGGAAGCAGAAGACTCCCCTTCACCCAGTGTCATGTACCAGCTCCTGCAAGCTGACACACACCAGCCTTGACCAGACACTCGACTCTCTGTCCATGGCTGGCATCGCCTAGGAGTCATCAGAGGCATGTCTAGAAAGCTAGAGGAGAGAGCGAGTCTCAGCACAGCATGCTCCACAGAGAACCCCATAGGTCCAATTTCTAGGGTTCCAGTTCCGCAGGCAGACAAGAAGAGCTTTCTCCCAGAACATGACTAGACACATGGGGAGAGAAGATTTCAGTTATGGCCAAGTGCCAGGAAATTCGAGGCTAGACAGATTAGTGGACAATTCACTAGGCCTTGAATTGCACACAGATGCGAACTAGGAGCCAGTGGGGGGCAAGAAGCATGGAAGCTGGGTTCCCATCAACCCGCCACATTTCAGAAACAAGAATCAACATTAGGGGTGGGCAATAATTTTTGATGGGGGGGGGCACCCCAAGATTTTGGTAGGTAGTCAAGGGCCACACTTTTCTATGGAGCAGGTTCCGAAGGGAGCTTGTGGTAGGAGGGAGTTTGGGTGTAGGAGGGGGTTGTGATTGGGGTGCAGGAGAGGATTCTGTCCTGGGAGAGGGGTGTTAGAGGAGGTGCAGGGTGTTTGACCAGGGGGAGAGGATGCAGAGGGTTTGTGTGATGACCTGGGGCAGGGAGTTGGGGGGAGTGGAAGGCTGGGAAGCCAGAGGCAGGCTCTGGGCGGAAGAGCACCTCTCTCTTCCCCCAGCTCTGAACAGCAAGCAGGAGGGTTCCAGGAAAGCAGCAGAGCAGAAGGGGGAAAAGCACCTAAGCACGAGTTGTGCACAGCTCTGCTAATCAAGTGCATGACACTGATTAGCCCTTGAATGGCTGCACGGCTTCGAAGGAATACCGCTGACAACCCATGTAGTTTGATCTTAATTCAGCCAGTTTCTATCCAGCAACTCGAACAGGCACGGAGAAAACAGAACTACAGGTGAAATGAAAGCCTGACATCCTCTCTGATCTCACCTAACAGCAGCAGATACCCATTCAATAGAAGGAATTAGAAAGAAACCTGCATGACCTCAGCTGAGAGAACATTTGGGGAAAATAAGCAATTCTAGGCACAAGGGGGATATGCACTCAGTGTAAAAGGCATTCAATTAACAGGGCCCAGAAGAACTCTACAGAAGAGAAGTGTGCAGGCAAGAAGTGCCTGGTGTTATTGCAGCCACTCCAGACCCTGGCTATTACAGAGACAAGGTGGGTGAAGGAATATCTTTTACTGGACAAACTTCTATTGGTGAGAGAGACAAGCTACTGAATTGTCAACATTACCTTATTTCCCCTTAAAATCTGAAAACATATAAGGAGCCCACAAGAGATCCCAGAGCTCAGTTTAAAATAAAATAAAAAGTGTAGGACTCCGTCCAGTTTACAGAAAATCATCTAATAGCTGAGCCATTTAAACACACAAATTCCACGTGGGAGTGTTTCACTAGCTCTGAGTCTCTCTTTTCAAAGATAAACTGCTTAATTCAGTGGCAAAAGCAAGCTTTTCCTGCTATCATTCTTGTTAGTCCTGCCAAGCCAAAACAGCTAGGGTATGTCTACACCACCACCCTAGTTCGAACTAGGGTGGTTAATGTAGGCAACCGAAGTTGCAAATGAAGCCTGGGATTTAAATATCCCGGGCTTCATTAGCATCTTGCCGGGCGCCGCCATTTTTAAAGCCCCGGTAGTTCGGACTCCGTGCCCGCGGCTACACGCGGCACGGAGTAGGTAGTTCGGATTAGGCTCTCTAGGTGTACCAGTAGTTCGGATTAGAGCTTTCTGTGGCTCTCTGCTCTGGGGGTAGGGGAAGGCCATGTGTTGCCCCTGCCCCCAGCAAAATCTTTCAGCGGCTACTGGCTCGAAACTGGCTGTACCACTTGCTCATGTGGTGATTCCTTCCTGGCTAAGGTCATGTTCCTAATTACAGAACCCCAATCCAGCACTTCTGGCTTCGGTTCCCACTGTCACCTCAGCCTCTGGCAAGACCACCGAGAAACCTGAAGGTACATGTGCACTGACACACAAAACTTGCAGCAGCAAGTCTCTTAGCCCAGGTCAACCGACTCAGGCTGTGAGGTTAAAAAATGCAGTGAAGACATTCAGGCTCCACCACAGGAGGAGAGCTGCCTCGGACCCCGGGCTCCAGCTCAACCGTCTTCCCTGCAGCGTGCAGCCCTGCCCTTGAGTCCCACAGGGCTGGGGCACAGACACCAGAGGCCAGGCCCAAGGGGGAGCCTGTTGAAGCCAGTCCCAGTAGTGACACCGCCGAGCCCCAGCAAGTCCCTGCCCCGGCGCCCCCCGGCTCACCCGTCGAAGGAGGAGCTGGTGCAGTCATAGACCATCTCCCGGTTGCCCTTCATCTGCAGGTAGGCGTCGCAGTTATCGCACCCGTCGTACTCGAACTGGTCGATGGTCTGGGCGGCAGAAGAGGGGGGTGGGGGTCAGGCCTGGCGTCCCCCTCCCCCCACATCCCTC